ATACACCGTGCAAGAAGACAGCTTGAGTGTCTCGGGCCCCCTCTATACCACAGCTGGATGTCGGCACGGCTACGGTAGACGAGAGTGTTTACTATTTGAACCCACCTGACTTGAAGAAAGCAAAAGTCAGTTCATGTAAAGCTGCAGGAGCTTGCTCACTTCTGCAGCTTTAATGCAGGCCATAGCTCAGTTCATGAGTCCTGCACCTTGCGCTCAAAGTCGAATATCAGAGACAATTCATCGGCTGCTCGACGTGCTACTCTTAAGAGAAAAGCTCCTCTTCAAGGGTTTTAACAATTTGCAGGAGGGGATCCGAACTCTTGATGACTTTGCAGGCGCCGTCCAGAACCATTCTGTCTCTAAACTCAAGAGTCCACGGCCAACCTGGTGTCAAATTTGGATATACAAACTCCTATGGAGATGAAGGATGCAAACTCCTATGGAGATGCATCATCTCGCGAGTACTCACGTCAAGTTGTCGCAGCTCGACTTGATTCCACTCTTTATCACTCCAAATAAGTGAAGTAGGATCGGAATAGCAAGCATGTTAATAGCAGCGACTTTGTTCTTTCCCGAAAGTTTCTGATGACCAGATATGTCGGAGCCACTGCTACTTGCTATTTGCATCCAGGTGATGTAGGATGATTTGGTCCACGAGCTGCACGTCCTTGTCGTAGTTCTCGCATCGTTTTATCTTGAGATGACCCAGTGCACATGTTTCCATTCCGAATTCCATTCCAATTGCCTGCGTGTACTCCTACGCTACCCTGAGGGATTGGTCCACATCCCTCCTCCAGCATCAGTCGTTTTATGCATCTCACTATAGAATCAGGCACCTAAAAGACACTTGAGCAAGAACACGAGTAAGTCATGTGACGTTGTGTCAAATGCCTTTGGGTTATCGATCCAGGCCACAGGAAGATTCCGCTGTTACTATCACTATAGAAGGTTGAATTCATTCCAATCACGACTCTACGGCCTCCGACGCCACGCTTAATCGTGTCGGATAAAATCCAGCGACCACTATCTCCACAGCCCGTGGGGTATGAGTGATCACTCTAGGTCCAAGTACCATAATTATGTGCCTGCACCGTTTCCGAGTAAATAATTACTTAAATGATCGCAAAAATGATGTTTTAGATATGTGCATGTTGTTTTGAAACTCTCCATAGAAATTATATGAAAATTCATGTATACCGGGTGTGTTAAACAACATTCCTAAACTTTTGGTCAAACCCAAATAACTTTGAAGCCAATGTGTCAAATGAGTCAACTTCTGTCAAACTACCCTTGGAAACCCACCCTCAACTTCATATTTTCAAGTTACACCCTATACATTTTTTCGTTGATTAGTGCGAAGTTCAATCAATTATATTGCTGCCATTCTGCCGACCATCTATGAACCTTAAAATGTATGTAAGGTATGTAGGATACTGACTCTGTAACAGACATATTTACAGATTATGTTAATTTAACAGAGAATGGTTTTCTGCCAAACACTCAACCAAAGAGGTGACTAACCTACTATTATTTGACTCAACCCCGTGTTGAAATTTACGCCTGTCCTTTTACTGAATTTTGATAGTTGGCTAACTGCATGAAAAGGTGGATATATTAATGCTCCATAGCTACTCATTAACCTCACATTTCAGGGTTGGTTTTGATCATGGATTTTGATAGATTGAAAGGAAAATGAATATGTCAGAATATATGGTAATATAATTCTTAAATTGGACTGATACTATTATTAATGAGTAACAATATTCATTTATTATACCTTCCAGCTTCTTCTAGAACGATGGATCCAAACATATATGAAGATTTTTTATAAAATCCATAAGTGATTTAACAATTACAGTGAGAAAATCGGGTCCATAGGAATGTTACATACTATGTAATATTATTTTATAGAAATATATTGAAATAGCACTGACAGAATACCGATTTCCTTACATTCTATGTGCATTCTATATAAATATGGAATTATTCAGAGTCTCTACTGGTGTGCAGAATACAGTCTGTCCAAGATAAGGTTGAACAGCATGGGGATCTCGAAAACGGTAAGAGATACGAAATCGGTTAAATGGGGAAAAAGTTGCGCATTCGGAGGCTCATATCAAGAGCCTTCGGAAATTTTGAAAACTATTTTTGGTTTTTGAGTTATATCGAAAAAAGTTAATTTTTGGAATTTTATTTTTTTTCTCTGTTATTATTAGAGATACAGCAAAACTGAGAATACTTTTTCATTGCAACTTTTGATGACGGTCAACGTGGTGATACCGATTTTTTCATGCGACGTTTCGTATTCGTGGAACCATCATCAACTTTTGTTTTTTGAATACGGTCCTGATAATTTCTTCACAGATTCTGAAAGGTTTTTTTATTCTGAATTCAACCATGTATTAAACAAGGTGGTTCATTTGTGTTTCGACCTATTTTTGGTCATCATCAATGTTTTTTCGAAACTCCAAAGGAAAAATGCCATCAGTTCCACTTATTTTGAAGGAACATTAGTCAACACACTAATACCTCATCAACTGGTTTCAATCAACAACTCATTTCATTTTGCGGAAACAAAAATTCCATCCATACAAATTCAGAATATGTCAAGCGCTAAAACCAGGCGATGACGAAAGGCGCAAGACATTCTGTGAGTGGTATACCAGGAAATGTTGAAATTTTGCAGATTTCTTTCGAACAATCATCTGGACTGATGAAAGCATGGTCACTAATCATGGTAGCTTCGATAGAAAAAATACACATTATTGTTCACGAGAAAATGAACATTTATACATTACAGCGAGACACCAACCCCGTTTCGGCTTTAATATGTGGGTTGCAATATTTGGTACACGAATTATTGTTCCTTCTATTTACCATGAAACACAGACTTCCGAACGTTATAGAAATTCGCTTGAGAATCATCTTGAGGAAGCTCTGGATGATTTACCGATTGCGGAAGTTCAGAACTGTTGGTTTCAACAAGATGGCGCTCCGGTACATAATTCCAGAGAAGTCCGTGCGTGTTTATCCCTTGGCCGGCGCGGTCGCCTGATTTGACACAGCTGGATTTTTTCTTAGGAGATATATCGAACTCTGTACACGCAAATAACTTTGATGATGAAGAAGAGCTAAGGGGCAGTGTCTTCGAAGCATTCAATAGAATAACCCCAGAAATGCTTAGCAATGTCTTAGAAGCAACTGTGAGAAGAGGATATCTTTGTTCAGAAAATAATGGTTATCATGTTGAACATTTGTTATGAATGTCTCTGTAGGTATTGTCAAAGTTAAGTTGTTAAAGTAATTCGTGTAAGAATTCATCAACAATTTTAAACGCTGCATTGATCGAATGATATAGTGAAATATTTTTAATTCACTTTTCAGTATTGAATAACTAATCCATCAAGTTTGACACTAAATGATCAGAAATAAGTGGAACTGATGGCTTTTTTCTTTTGGAAGTTCGAAAAATCATTGATGATGGATAGAAATAGGTCGAAACACATTCGAATCACCTTGTATAGTACATTGTTGAATTCAAAATAAAAAAACCTTTCAGAATCTGTGAAAAAATTATCAGGGCCGTATTTAAAAAACAAAAGTTGATGATGGTTCCACGAATACGAAACGTCGCATAAAAAAATCGGTATCACCACGTTAAACCTCATCAAAAGTTGCAATGAAAAAGTATTTTCAGTTTTTCTGTATCTCTGATAATAACGGAGAAAAAAAATAAAATATAAATTCCAAAAATTCACTTTTTTCGATATAACTCAAAAACTAAAAATAATTTTCAAAATTTTCGAAGGCTCTTGATATGAGCCTCCGAATGCCCAACTTTTTCCCCATTTAAGCGACTTCGTATCTCCTATACCGTTTCCGAGATCCCCATGCTGTTCAACCTTATCTTGGACAGACTTTATATCACACTTGATATTTTGACATACCTGCGTAATACTCCCGAAATTACGAAATTCTAAGAAAATAGTATCAGGTGCTAGACATGTGCTAGATCATTTCTGATATATGCATAATTATGTTCTTTTTGACAGTTGTTCGGGCAACAAGCGTCTAGCTAGACAGACTAGCAAATCTTTGAAACCTCAAGGTTATCAGAAAGTTATTCGTGTTTATAAGACTTATAAGGTAATATGAGGAGGGAAAAAATCTCTTCTACATGTAGAAGAAAAGTACCTACTCTCAACCTTACTTGTATACTAAATAATAATTTTTTCTGTAAACAATAATTTTGAAAAATTATTTGAGTTACTATTCCACTCTTGATCTCGAGAACCAATCGAACCAATCGACCATTTTCACGGTTTCTTCTGTATTCTAGCGATATTTTTTGTTTATTAAATTTTATCGGACTTGCTCTACCAATGCAGAAGCCGAATTGACCCACACGTGACCAACAAACCTCGTTTATCAGCGATAAAATTTTGACATCGTGTCTGGTCAAGATTGCTTTGGATTCAAATCTGAGACTCTTATCTGAGACAATAACCTATACTTCATATTATTTACTTATAATTCGCGTTAGTGAGACATTTTGTACGAAAGGCGAGACAATTTTATTCTGGCTGGACGTTTCATGTGTAATTTAAAAAGTTTGCATATTTGTTGCTCTTTCCGGCAAAATATTATCACTTGTGGTATTATATATGAATTTTTTTTATAAAAATTGACACCTCGCAGAGATTGAACCCGAGTCACCATCGTGGAAGTCAAATACACAGACCACTGAGGATCGTTCCACTCGTAGTAGCCGTAGTTCCTCAATTTAAAAAAGAATGAAATATCAGGTGTTTGAAATGAAGAAGGGATTTAAAGTCCGTGTATCGACATTGGTCATATACGTTCCCCCACCACGTGCTTTATTTCTTGCGTTCTCTCTGCAGGCGCTAGTGAGAACGTGTTCTGTGGACCCTTGATATGACACTGTTGTCACTGATGACATATCTGATGATATCTGTCATTCTGACAAAGTCATAACATAACCTTAACATTTTCATTTGCCAAAAAAATTAAGATTTCAAAAAGTTTAGTAGGGTACATGGTACAATTTCAGATTATTTCATATTCCTAGCTGATCCAGTGCTCCTTTATTCAGAAAATGGCAACAATGAGAAGCACAACTGAACATTGGGAAGAATTTTATGCTACCCATTTACCTCCAAGTGATTTTGAAGATAACAGGACATTGCTGAAGGAGTTTTGTAAAAGGCACAATAAAGGAAATACACGTATAGTGTTGATAACTGTTAGTTTTTAACAGGATAATAGACTTGTGGGGACTATGCATCAACTCAAGATTTTCACACCTTGGTAGATCAAAAAGTTGTCCTGTATTGAATAGATATCATAGTTCAGTTCATCAAAGGAGTATATATTCAATCAGTCATAGAGAGGAGAGCCCTTTTTGAGCAAGGAATTTGTTTTGATCCACCAATAACTACTATGAACACCACAAATCCCAAGTAAATATGATATAATGTTTGGTTTGACTGGAAGTAGAAGTCCTTATCATGTTTGTACTTTTGACTATTGGATCACCTTGTGTATTTTGATTCATTCAAGTAGGTATTTTTTTTTATTGATGAATTGAGCATAACACATAATTTTTCAATTTCCTGCTCCTATGTATATCCGCAGCTTTTGATCCAGTTTCCTCTTGTATTTTTTTTCTTGCCCAACTGTGAATACTCAAAGAGCAGCAACATGTATTAGCAATATTTTTTAACAAAACCCTGATGGTGTCAATTTGGGTTAGTTTGAGATACTCCAATAAAATGTTTCCATCAGTGAATACATTATATTTGTCAGAGATATTTGTTTAATACACAGGTTACCAGGGGTTACAATTTTTTTCAATTGTGTAACTCAGTTTTCTTCTAACTAGTTCAACAATATTACTCACCCATTAAAAATGTCCAATTTGACCCCCCTGTACTTACTTAGATTAATTTTCATCACAATATAGAGTAATTTCAGTCAAGGTTGAAAATGAATACATTTGAACCTAGATTATAATTATTCTTCTTTTGTTATTTTATTATTTATTCTTCACAAAATGTAGCCAAATGATGTGTTGTAGAGAAAGGCACTTGGGAGGTAGATCAAAGACAAGCACCATATTATCAAATATCTTGAAAAAAAAATAGTTATTTCAAATGATTAGGAAGCTATTTGCCTTGAAGTTTCCATTAGCTCAATGGGTGTGCCTCAGTGTGCCTTAATATCAAAACTTCTTTCTCTGTCACACTCATTGAGCTTGAAACTTCAAACATAAACAATCAAACTGGGTATTGTTGAATTCATTATTATCATGGAATAATAAATTGAAAGTAAAAAAACTTTCAATAAAAAGCTTCCATTTGAAGGATAAAATGTTCCTATATAATTCTAACTATCATCTTATAACCTCTTATCTTTCTTCTGAAACTCATTGTGAAAGAAGATCAAAAATAACTATTCCGCCATCTTGGATGGTCTGCAATATTGGATTTAGAATGGCGTCACAGTATTTTCCGAGTGGAGCCCTTTCATTTGTTACCCATATTGTAGAAGTGCATTAAAAATAATCATTACGCCGTCCTGGATGGTCCGCCATATTGGAATTGAAATGACGTCACATCATTTTTCGAGTTACTCTGAGCAAGTCTTTTCGTTTGATACCTATATTTGTGGAAGCGCATTAAAAATAACGATTTCGCCATCTTGTCTTGGATGGTCCGCCATATTGGATTCAGAATGACGTCACATTATTTTTCGAGTTACTCTCAACCGAGCCCTTTCATTTGATACCCATATTGTAGAAGTGCATTAAAAATAACTATTCCGCGATCTTGGATGGTCGGCCATATTGAATTCAGAATGACGTCACATTATTTTTCGAGTTACTCTCAACCGAGCCCTTTCATTTGATACCCATATTGTAGAAGTGCATTAAAAATAACTATTCCGCGATCTTGGATGGTCGGCCATATTGAATTCAGAATGACGTTACTTTATTTTTCGAGTTACTCCCAACGAGCCCTTTCATTTGATACCTATATTGTAGAAATGCATTAAAAATAGTCATTCCGCCATCTTGGATGGTCTGCCATTTCGGATTTAGAATAACTCCACACACCTTATCGTGCATTGTCATCCAAACTAAACGTGTATGCAAAATTTCAGCTCAATCGGTTAAAGATATCTACTTCAAAATTGAGTTCAAAGATTCCACCCAAACTAACATACATACATACATCCATACATTGCAAGTTAAATAAAAGCTTTTAAAAATACAGGGTGTTCCATTCGATAATCGAAAGTGGATGTCATTTCAAGGAAAACCGGGAGATGAAAAAAAATTCCTAAAATGTGAGAAAGTACCCTCTAGTGAGCATATTCGATGTTCCAAATTTCAGAAATATAGGTAGAAAAACAAAAGAGAATATTATATCATATTGAAATCAAAAAACTATCCATGTGAATTCATTATTCCATATTTTTTGGGATTTTCTCTGCGTTCAAAGAATTTTCCTATCAGAGAGCCTAGGAGAAAAATTCACTAGCTTGTCAGTGACAATCTGTATTGAAAAAGGTTTGGAGAAGAGAAATAATGGTATATAGAAAAAATATCAAATTTTCACTTATCTTCAGACGTTTCGGGAACGAATCTGCTTCCGTTTTCAACATAAAAAATGGATTTTTGTATGGCAAATTCGTATTCGTCTTGACACTTCTCATTTTATAACCTGTCAGTAGAGATGAAATGTTAAACTTTTCTCCCTTCACAGAAAAAATGTTTTGTACTTCAAAAAATCAACATAAAAAAAATCTCATAAGTAAAAAGTAGGAACGTTAATTCGACATCTCGCTTCCAATCAATTCCAAAGAGACAAAGAATATTTTATTTGTATTCGAATTTCAAAATTCTTACATATAAAATAACAGAATGACGCTCTGTCCAATGATGTCGTTGTCACCCGGCATATCTAGGTTATTGTATAAAAGAAAATTATCCATAAAAATATCGTTGGTCCTGTTTAGTACTAATTGACATTATGGCTGAGTACGGTACGAACAGATTAAAATTTTGTTTTCCAAAATGGGATAATTTACAGATTACATTTTCTAAACAGCTAAAATGACTGCGGCATACTGTCGTGTTGAAGTGAACTTGAGAAGTTATTTATCAAGTTAGTTATCAAGTTACTTATCAAGTAACTTATCAAGTAGCCGCAGCGGTCTGGCACCGATTAATGGTCGATGATCAGATTCAATTTTGAAATATTGAAATGGTAGTATTGAAATGTTTCACACCCAAATACCACAGCTAATAACTCCTTCTCAATATGGTTATAGTGTTTTTGTGTTTCAGTTAATGACACTGATGCCAAGTCCACAGGTTTGTGATCCTGAAAAATACAGGGTTCAAGACCATCTTTCGATGTATCACAAAATATGACAACGTTGAAGCTGATGTTACAAGTTTTTTATGATTTTCGAAGCACTGGTTTCTATTTTTAGTCCAAGATCACTCAACTTCATCACCTAATAATCTTCTAATTCGAGTTCTTGCTTCTGACAGATTTTGACAAATAGGTTATCATTCCTAGGAATCTTTGGAGTTCTCTTCCATTTTTTGGAGGATTCATGTCTCGGAATTGCTTGTGTCTTTCAAAGCCTCATTCATCCTGCAGCAAGGGAATCCACTGGAGAGGCCAATATACATATATCCCACCGCTGTCACCATGTGATGTTTGGATAATATCGAAATTATTCAAAAATATACTCGTTAGTTCTTCACTATAGGTTATTTATTTATACCACTTATGATAGTAATAATAATAATAATAATAATAAATGCTTTTATTGTCTCGAACAAAAAGCAGAGTTCAACTCGCCGATAAATCGACAGTTGCTCTTCCACTCAACCGTATACAATCGTTTTGAATCAGTTCAGAGCGAACGCGACATGTGTTCGATCGTACCAAAAACATACTGACCATTGCGATGTTGCCAAAACATCTGATAAGTAGCAGATGTTAAATACATTTCAGCCATAATGTTAATAGTAGGTAATAAACAGGACCATAGATATTTTTATGGATAACGAGTACTCACTGATGATGACTGTATAGTTAAAAGGGCTCTGTTTCGAAAATTTTGAATACGTTATTTTGCAGGAAATACATTGTACAATTATTTTTATATCTACACATGCACAAAATATGAGTTGGGGTTGAAAATTCTTGAGTGGAAGCATACTCCCTATACTCTCCCCACATTCTAACCTCTTCGATTTTCAGTCTGGGGGCACGACCGTCCCGCTGGAACACAACACCGTGCGCTTCGTCGACAACTTCAGCGGCGGCACGCGGGGGGCGGCCTCGGCCGAGTACTTCCTCGAGCACAACTACGCCGTAATTTACATGCACCGGCTCAAGTCGATGGAGCCGTTCACCAGGCACTTCAGCGGACAGACTTTCCTGGATATGCTCGAGTTGAACGAGAGGGGACCAAATACGACCATAACAGGTGAGAGAAGGACATTTTTCCTGCGTAGTTGCGGTACACATTTGACTTTTTTCTCAAAATGTAATTATTTGACAGTATTTATGCTCTTGAACTGCCATAACTACAATCTAGACCGCTATTATGTCACTCAGACTTGATACCATCTAATTAATAATTCATTAAAAAGTATACGCCATCAATCGTGAACACTTAACAGTGTTAAATGGATGAAACCACTAATGGTGGGTATAACTCCGCGAAATTGTTGCCAGAGAATTGCTTTCCTGCATAGAAATATTGTAACTTATGAATCGTGATTTTTATAAATGTGTGTATGTGCATTCTCTCACGTGTTGTGCTCGGCCTCGGCTGAGTACTTCCTCGAGCAGAACTACGCTGTGATTTACATGCACCGGCTCAAGTCGATGGAGCCGTTCACCTGGCACTTCAGCGGGCAGACGTTCCTGGATATGCTCGAGTTGAACGAGAGGGGACCAAATACGACCATAACGGGTGAGAGAAGGACGACCTTTTTTTGCATAGTTGCTTTCGAAGGTGTCAAATCTCGACGGTAGATTTGATGTTTTTCTCAAAATGTTATTAATTGACAGCATTTACGCTCTTGAACTGCTGTCTCTGACCGCTATATGGTCACTTAGACTTAATACCATTTGATTCTTAATTCATTAAAAAGTATACGCCATCAATCCTGAACACCAAACGGTTAACACGTTGACTGCCATGTCGGTCTATAGGATCAGGAAAAAAATATCCTCACGTGCCGCCACGGTCTCAAAGGCCGATAGGGTGGAATAAATCTTTATTCAGTCGATAAAACGTGACATATTTTTTTTTTAGTGAATATAATCGAATATAAGTGTTCACTTACACAACCACCGAACATGAAATGAATAATGAGCTACTCCCCTCACCAGTGTAGAACAATCGGGATACACGTGACAAATTCAAAAAGCAAGTTGAGACAAGTATTTTGAACAGCACTAGACCACTAGACCGAGGCCGAAGTCGGCCGGACCGACGCGGCGTACACAGGTATACATCTATACACGAGTGCAAATATCAAAAATTTCAACGATATACTATCTTCTGTAGGCTTCAGCTACATAGAGTCACTGATTGTTTCTGGGACAAATTTTTGAATGTTGCTTCGGCTCTGATAGCAACAGTGTGAATGAGAGCCCGGCAGTCAACGTGTTGAAATGGATGAAATCACGAATGGTGGTGATAATTCCGCGAAATTTTTGCCATAAAATTGCTTTTCTTCATATATTGTATACCGGGTGTCCCATTTTAATCTTTATTTGAAAATTTCTCGAAATGTATGCATCTGACAAAAAAAATTGACGAATAGAAGTTGTATGGTTTGGAGGGGGACGTCTGGTTATAAAACAACTTTCACCCCCTGACCCCCAGGGGAGTAAGAAATGGAGGTAACATTGAAATCTTTGATGGAAACCCCTATTTTTTATTGCAGATTCTTGAATAGCATTAAAAACTATGAAGCTTTTATTCGGGAACTTCTTTTTTATTTTCACAAGATGGCGCTGCGATCGTGAAAAATAATATTTGACTATTTACACATTTCAACCCCCTGAAGACGAGGAAGAGTGTAGGGTGTGATATTTTCCCAGACAAACGCCATTGGGGTGATATTCACACGACAAATTAACGCTAAACGAACTTACTTGCCTACCTCTACATAGAAAAGAGAAAAATAAGCATGTTTCAGCAATTAAGGTATCATTTAGGTCAGACTAGAGCTGGTTTTAAGTGAGATTGACTACTTTATCAAGTGTTCGAAATGACCTCCATTTTCTTGAATACACAAGTTCACTCGTTTTTCAAAATTCCGCATTGTCGCTTCCAACATAGCAGGCGTTATCTTTCATATTCTCGCGTGTGGTTGGGGGTTCGCGAAACACAATGTTTTTGATGTAACCCCACAGAAAGAAGTCTGGGGAAGTCAAGTCGGGTGATCTGGGTGGCCAACTACAAACTAAATAGTAAAATATTGTTTTTCAAGATCGCAGCGCCATCTTGTGAAAATAAAAAAGAAGTTCCTGAATAAAAGCTTCATAGTTTTTAATGCTCTTCCAGAATCAGCAATAAAAAATAGGGGTTTCCATTGAAGATTTCAATGTTACCTCCATTTCCCACTCCCCTGGGGGTCAGGGGGTAAAACTTGTTTTATATCCAGACGTCCCCCTCCAAACCATACAACTTTTACTCGGCAATTTTTTTTGTCAGATGCATACATCTCGAGAAATTTCCGAATAAAGATTAAAATGGGACACCCGGTATATCTAATGAATCGTGATTTCCATAAATGTGTCTATGTGCATTATCTCACGTGTTGTGCTCGGCCTCGGCACAACTACGCCGTGATTTACATGCACTGACTCAACTCACTGGGCACTTCAGCGGCAGGCATTTCTGGATATGCTCGAGTTGAACTACCATTACAGGTGAGACAAGGACCTTTTTGCACGAGCTATATCGATCAAAAGGATTCCCTGCAAGAGCAAGGCACTTTTTTTCAATAGTTTACGAATTGAATATTGTGAAGTTTCGGAGCATCGGCTGGTAATAATCCTGCACGATTCTCTGTTGTGTTCCGATTAACAGGAATGCTCCTAAAGTGGCGCATGGAGTTAGTAACAAAGCCTACACAGAACACGCAGAATGAGATGATGATGTGGTCGTGAGTATCAGAGAAGTAGTAGGATGGTGTATGTAGGTGGATGTGGAAAACTACCAGCTGAGCGTGAGAACGAGCCAATGCTGCTTAGTGGACCTCGGTCTCTAACGAGAATAGCTAGCAGCCCTGCCACTGTAGCATATGGGAGTGAGTACATTACTAGCCTACAAAACACAGCCGAAAAACTCTGAAAGAGAGCAGATGGGCGGTGCCTGAAAAGGATGTTAGCCAGCTCTCTTAAGCGAACCACATCACTCATTGAAAACACCTTGGGGCTTGCAAGAAGATCCCATTAGGGATTAGTTGCTGACGTGCAAACGTCCCCCACCAGTACCAGTAGTAGTAGTTGATGTTCACATAACGCAATATGGTTACTCTTATTAATTTATTGGTCGTCATGATAATTAAACTTGATTTTGTGTGCCATCCAGATTTTGTTCTCGTAAATTAGAAATGTCAGTTTGACAATTGATTGTATTCCAAGCTTTATACAATTTTATTGAAATCGTTGGATCGTGCAAATAATAGTGAATACACCTCGGGAGTGGGTGTGTTTTCCCTCAGTGCATTGTAGCATCCTCAGGCTGCATATTCATGCACTTTACGCTCTCGATGTACTTCAATCAATCAACGAATTAACCTTCGACGCATGACAGAAAATTTGATTTTTCAAAATTTTCATTATTTCACAGCGCTCGTGAACTGATGTCACTGACATTACTACTATCTAGACTGCTGTCATATCTTAGCAATCCGAAAATCTCATCCTAATTGCTCGCATAAAAACGCTTCTGCTCAATACGCAGAAACTCCCAAATTGTCATTTATGACAATTCCTTTCGTATGGTATAAGCGGTCTAGGTAGCAGCTCATGCCAGTGGCAGAAAGTGCGAAACTTGTAAATTTGAATCTCATATTCTTCTGTTGAAGAAATGAAGGAAGAAATATGAATTATAATAGTCAATCAATTGGTGCCACACCAAGAAGGTGGATGAATATTCAGAAAACGTGTTACGGGCTCAATTTGTGGAAAAATCGTTGAATCTGAAGTCATCGAGGTGAATTTTATTTATACTTTGAACACTTCAGCGGGCAGACTTCCTTGGATATTCTCGATTCGAACGAGAGGAGACCAAATACGACCATAATAAGAGGTGAGAAATAGTTATCTAACCAACTAGTATATTAAGACCAAAACGAACGCGTTAATATTATAGATCATTAATCGCCTGATTAATATACGATTTGGTTACAACATTCTTCCGTCAACTATGTTTTCCCTGCAATGAAGAGAATTTGAACTACCAATTCATTAGTCGTCTGGAAACTACTAACCATCAATCAATATTATCGATTCAAATGCAGATTCCGTAAGTTATAATCCCCAACAGTGAAACGATGTGTATGTTGTGGTTGCCTGTACCACAATCGTGTGTCAATAGACACATTGATCGTTAATAGGGGTCATTAATGATCAATCTCGTGTAGAAGCCGACCAGATTAACATTGCATACATGAACACGTTCTGGCCCAAAGTTCACCTGGTCGGCTCTACATTGATCAAACTTGCTAGTACGAAGTTGACGGAAATAGATATTTATGCACCAAGGTAGTAAAACATATCATTATTACCAGGGACCATGATTATATACCGAGGCTTCAGCCGAGGGGTATAAGATCCCGTGGTAATAATATTCTTTAATACCAAGGTGTATATATTTTTTTAACCACTAGCAATATATTTCAATCATTATAGTTCTGTGAAACTGAAATGTGGACCTATATCACTATGAAAGCACTTCTTTTCAATTCTAATTCAAACATAGTCAGCATGACAGCATATGACAAGTCGTTATTAATAAATACCAACTACGTCTTCATTGACCTGTGGTTTTTAAAATGACAAAACTACCTTGGTAGTAAAAACACACTTTACTCCTTCAATAATGGTAGGTTCTATAGCTAGTAGTGGAAACGAATATTTTTTCAATTGCAGTGAAACCAGACAGCGTCGATGTTTTGGCGCCAGTATTAGCAAGTTATAAATCAGCCCATGACTCTGGCAGCATATTATATGTGAATTTCACCACCGTTTCTGATTATTTTTGGTTATTGAGAGCTGCCTGCGAATGTCTGACGGATTGCGGCCCTAGGGCACTACTGTATCTAGCGGCAGCAGTGTCAGACTTCTACATACCTTCTAGTCAAATAGTAAGTCGATTTTTCACAATACTAATAAAACAAAACACATTGCTGTCATTTAATGTATACTGATTCGAGATATTCACGAACCAATAGATGGCGCTGGAAGATCGTCAAATTTCGAAGTGAAATTCGTTTGAAAATCCATATTTTTTAAAATGAAATCTCTAATCTGATATATTTCTGATGATAAGCTATTAATCAACATCTATCAAAAGCAAAAAACGCACTTCACACAAGGTTCATCAATCCATATTGTTTTCAAAATGCTCTTTACCACTACCCTTCCAGGTCACTGGAGGTATTCAAGTATTAATATTTTTTTATTCCTTGTCACTTTCTACCCCTTTCTGCTTCAATTATAGAAATATAGGTAGAGAGTGGGGATTTCAAATATGTTGGACTAAGTTGGTGATTACATGAGACCTTTTGAAGATGAGTTGTAGTGGATATGCTCGATAAATTTCACATGTTTAGGAAAACCTACAATAGGTAGGTTCTTCAATCTTAATTTAGATAAGTCCTATGTTTTTCCATGAATATCACACACTTTTTGTCCTTAATTCTTTGTGGGTTTTCACATGATGAATTTGATTCTTCGCACTAGTATTTCTTTGCACACCAATCAAGAGATTCGTTAATCTATGACTCAAGTATCACAATCGAGATCACAATAAATAATTTGTTTGCCACATCTTTGATTCAAATTGATCTTGCCTTTCGTCTCCTTTCATTAACAGTCCCATTTTTTTTGGGGGGGTATTCATCTGATGACTTTGAATCTTTCAATCAGTGTTCCTTTGGACAACACAACTCAAGTGATGCTTCAAGTGTACAAATACAAATATGTTTCAGACATATCAAGCCTGTGTTCTGTCCTAAAAGTGCTCTATTTATAAGCACTATTCTATAAGAATCCTGTGATGTCTTTGGAATCTTCACTGTTATTATTGTTGATGCCTTCTCCAGATGTTTTTAATTTACCTATGGATGGTCCTGAACTCAAATCACATAGGATTCAAGTTTTCAGAAAACTAATTCAGAGGTTTGATTCCTGACTCACCCTAGCTTTCCCCTTGTAACATTCTCAGCTATAGAGTGCTTTGCAAACGTTCATGTAGGTACTGCCATATGAGTTTCTCAGTTCTCTGCAACTCAGCAGGTATTTTTCAAACAATGGGGACGTTTGCTTCAGATGAATTTTCATAAAATAAGTTTTATGTCCACGCTGTACAGAAACGTAAATGATAAAGTCCATTTCTATTTTCAAAAAAATGCGAATTCTCAATGTATTTTCTTTGAATATATATCCATTTTTTCATTATGGTGATATATCTGAGAATATTCCTTTTCAATAATTTAATACCCAATCAGGGGTTTCAAACTTGAACGATGGAAACTTGTTATTTATAGACCTCTAATCGCAGATTCGTGATTGGGTTTTCTCAATTCAGATTTTTTCCCACGTCCTATATGATGGATATTAATTTGTCATACATCCAAACAAAAGCAAAATATGTTTGCAACAATTATGAATTCTATGATGACTGCTAAATTTGTGTGTTGATCACCTTCGGAGAGGTTCTAAAGTTCGACACCAGAGGCCGCACAGTTTCTTGAATTTCACAAAAAGCGTTTTCCTTTCGTCGTATTGTCTCGAAGTTTTTCCGAACTGAGTGAGTTCTACGTGAGCGAACATATGTCAACGAATGATTTCCACTGACTTGTAAACTAGCTCGATGCTTGCCCAGTTCGAGGGTGAATCAGGATTCTTTTCATTGAATTCCACGGTTTGTTCTGCTGACATTCATGTTACATTGACCATAAATGATCAATATATCAATCAAAATCACATTTGAGTAATTATTCTTTGCCATAGTACTTTCACACCTATGAAACTTGAATTCAGGATGACAATAATAAACTACTCAAAATTAATTTCGTCGCACACCAAAATGTCGCCCCTGATATAATGTGAATAACTTTTTTCAGTTTAGAACAATTTGAATTTGGTTCACAACCAAGGCCGGAAGGCCCTAGCACGAATCACCAATAATAATGATCATGCCGGCCACAGTGTGGTCCCTATTTATTTGCGAACGGTTTGCTTTGTTTGCTAAAACTTCTCAAAACTACCTAAATTGGTGCCAGGTCGTGAAACTCCTGAGTTCAACGCTCATTTTAATGTTTTGCCAAACCGTTCGATTTTTGTCGACGCCATCGAATTATTTGAAGTGAATTGAAATTTGATTGTTTGATTATTTGAAATGACCTGGATCTGAAGGTGTATTGACTCTGATATATACTGAGTGGTCCCATCCGTGACAATATGAGTAAGTAGATAGAAGCAAGACTTCAGACTACTTTACTTTGTTACAATTTGTGCATTTATAGATCAGGTTTATTCAATTTTCAAGGATGTTCGAATTGTAGTTTCATTAAAAAATACAACCACAGAGTGACCCATTTGGATTTTCTATTGAATCGATGAATCGATGAAATCATTTGGACCAGGTGTCAGCCCTAATAGCAAATACCGCGCCAGTGCCAGGTATAGGAAAAAGAAGTGGTCAATGTTAGGTTAGTGAGCATATCAACATATCAACAATAATAATAGCGATTATTTATCCACTGTGTTTCTGTGTTTGGCTTGGTAATCAAATGCCGGTGTGCAGTATCGTTGTGTGAGACAAAAAGGTATTGAAAATCCTTAACTATAATATGGTGTATTTATATCTCCAGCATGGGTATGAAATGTTGAAATGCCAAATATGCCGAAATCGGTATGCGTCCCAATCCAAATAACCAACCATAACAATGTTTTTTATTCTTGATGACCTAGTATATCCTTTTTGTTATTCCAGATTTTTTGGGATTTTTTCTCCTCCCTATAGAATAAAAATATGAATATTATTTCAATATACGTGTAGTAAGAACAAATCAGATGATTTGCCCCAAAATGTCATTGCTTTTAAAGAATGTTCCTATTAGAGAGCCTAAAAGAAAAATTCACTAGCTTGTCAGTGACCCTTATTGAAAAAGTTTGGAGAAGGGAAATGAAGATATATAGAAAAATATCAAATTTTCACTTATCTTTGTCAGTAATAGAAACGCCAATTCAAGAGCTAATTTTAATATTAAAATGGACGACTTTGGTGTCGGTTGAAGAATGAAATTAATAGCCTACTATCTAAATAACTATCCAATAATTATTTTTATTGAAGACGAATTCATGACATAAATGATTATAACGAATGAACTGTACGGGATATATACAGTTATACGGTGAAATGAGACAGCTCTCCAAATGAGTAATAATATATAGCGTGTTTCATTTCAAAACACCGAGTTTCAATAATTTTCATGACTCCCTGTATGCTGAAACTGAGATGCGGTTCATCGGAAGAATACAAAATGGTCTTATGCAGCTATGTCCAGTTTCTTCCATGGAAATCTCAGAGATTTTCATGTGGGGGATGTCCATCATATCTGGATATTATTATGATCCTGATAAAATCACCTTTTCACAAATTTGTTTGAGGGTTGGGGGTCTGATTAATCCTATTCGTTTTACTAGCATAGTTTTGCTACTTTTTTTTTTTATTTGTTCTACAATATTCTTATTCACTTATATAATAATTTATAATAATAATGCTAACATAGATAATATTATTAATAATGATAATAGTACACATCAAAATCTCAACCCCACAACTTAATAATAATAATAATAATCAATCTTTTTTCTAGCCAATCCATAAAATTCAATCGCACACTGGGGTTCCCAACATTCAATTGCAATTAGCTCCGAAAATGTTGGCCCCTCTAGTGAGCCTTTGGATCCCCCATGCATTTGTGGTGTCATTCAAATTGGAGACTGATGAAAACATATTGATTTCTAAAGCCAGAGCTGCCTTGAGCAAATACAAGCACACGGTAAGATAACTATCATATATCTCCTTTAAAAAACTGTGTATAGGGTCTTCCACCATAAATTTTCCATTCCCCTGTAAATGTGTTCGAAAATTACTAAAGCTAGTTAGTATGCCATGTCTCAATAATTCTGTGAGTGAACAGGGTGTTCCAAGTCGCTTGATTTTGGCAGTTGTCCCTACTTCCAGAAGAGCTAGCGAATAACTGACTTATTGGTCTAGAGCTTGCTTTTTATGAAACATCGATTGGTGAACACTGAACTTTGATAGCTCTAACTGTTTCCGAGATATAGGCGAAAACCTAACCTGACATTTAGATTTAGAAGCAATGTCATTACTTTTTTATTTTTGTATACTTTTCAAACAGTAAAAACTTTGTTTCAAAACCAACTTTGTTATTTCAAATAGAAACCATAGTTGGCTTCAATTCTCTGGCATAAACAAAAAAGTTCGGACACAAAGTGCCCCTAACCTTTTCTTTTTCCCACGTAACTTATCAAAATTTCGAAAATTATTCAACATTTCTCAATTAGATGAAAAGTTAGGTACATGAACAATTTGGTTATTTCATCACGAGAGGTTTCAAAAATATTTACTAAAAACCCTCATATCAGGCTCACCTTCAGATGTACCTATTTTTATATAAACTTTCTAAGGTTCTAGAATTTGTGTAAATTCGGTACACCCATGTATATTTTTGGAAAGCCTACATCTTTCCGATTTTCTGAAACCAAAACCGAGTGTGGTTTCTAATAGAAATAACAAATTTGCAATCTAAGAGCTGACAAACAAATTTCATTGTCTGATTAATAGATTGATATCTCCTACCTTATTGTACTGCCTCAAAATTATTAAAAACTGATCAGGATGTCTGGTAGGTTTTCATTGGTGGGGGCTGCCGTGGTATTGCCGTAAGGGGTTCAAAAAAAATCAATGCAACGTACGATTAATAGAGCGCTGAATTTGTGTGGGTTGATAGCCCACTATGTTTGCTTCTCAATAAAAATTATGCCAGACACATTGAGTGTTTCAATCATACCACCAGGCAGCGGTAATAAGCCAATCAAATGGGGATTTTTCGAGGAAATAATTGCCACTAAGCTGGAAATCGTTTCAATCCCTTCTTTTGGTCCTAAATGAGTATAATGTGAGTTTGCATCATCCCAGGAGACGAGCTCAACTTTTGAGAGCCCGAAAGAGGTACATTTTTGAACTTTTTGCAGCTTGTAGTTCGAAAATATCGTGTCGGACGGAAAACAACACTTAATTCAATAATGAAGAGGGTTAAATTCTTCGTAAAATGAGTATATAAAACTGCAAATTTTGTTCAGTGGTACAGCTGAAATATAGAGTCAAAAACCGGAAACTTTTCAGTTTCATTTCAGTGCAAACTCAAATTTTGCGACTTTCTAGGACTACATATCTTGGAAACAGATACTCACCAGAGTGCTGTTCGTTATTCCTCGTCCATGTGACAGCCTTGGGCTTCCAGAGAACTCATGACGCAAACATCTGATCAGTGAATAAACCAGACCAAAACTTGTCATACCTTCTGAGTCTCTTTCCAATTGCCACAGCGAGTAACACGGGGTAACTCGCGAGCAGATCTTGAACTGATCAGAGTTTCCATTACAAAGAGCTTGGAGCACTCGAACTAAGCAATGCTACCTACTCGCTGCCTCTCGAGCACCAGCTTTTACAATAGGGTGACAAACTCAAAAATAGTCAGGTATATGTCAAACCAAAAAAGTGTCTGTCAGACGCGTCAGATTAATGTTTGTCTTTTGAAATGATTTTTGGTTTTGTTAAGTATTATTCATTAGCAATTAAATTAACGACCATATCTTCATCATAAACAACTGGTGTATTTGTTTGACCTTATCAAATTCAAAACGATGAGTGAAATGTATCTCTGGGAAATACCTAGATGATCCCGAAAACGGAGTACAGTATAGAATATATTTGGACCAGGAGGACTACCTTAAAGCTCAAACACAACAACAACACAGTATCTTCTATGACATTTTTTATTCGAATTATTTTTTTTTTCATCGTAATATCCACTTCAGCCTTATCTTCAGAATTTTCATAACCTACTCTAGTGTTGCAATTTGCTTCAGCATCATTTCATGGGTTATATGGTATAAAATGTGCGAGATCAGACATTACACCTACCAAAATCATATAATCCACAAGATTTTCCATCATAAAAATACTGCAAAAAAATTCGAATTCAAATTTTGAGCCAAATCCGTCAATAATATGTCACCAAAAATACTCGGGCAAATATTATGTTCCAAATACAACATTCTGGTTCAGTTCGAGTGTAGGTTAGTACCAGTTCATTTCAAAGGTGACTAATTTTCAATTGGAAAGTGGCTCAGATGGTTAGGAAGCATGTCCTGGAGGTACAAATTGACATGTTTAAAACATACCATAGATGACCGCCGGAATGCGAGTAGGGCAACATCCGTTGCACCGATTGTAGATGCTCCGGAATTTCAAATGTAATGTAATGATAAAGTTGCCACTTCATCATAATATTGATTTGTTTCTTCGACCATTTATTCCAGAACTTAATTTACTTAATCAAAAACTTTTGATATCTCCAAATTCCAGCCTTTCTTGAATGAACCACCTAATTATTCAGTATTCCTACAATATACTTTAACCGCAAAAGGAAAACAAGCAACTGAAAAATGGTAGTGAAAATAATGAAATCCACTTAAAGTATTGGGTCTTTTCGTACATACATTATAATAATATAATAATAACGTAAAATGATTCAATTGTCATAACACTCTCTTTCACAAAAGTGTCTGAATTATATTTATGATCCATTTTGAATCCCGTTCAGTTTTCAATGAAATAACGGCACTACAATAAGATAGGAAATACTGATCTATTATTCGGACAATGAAATTTATTGTCAGCTCCGTCTATTGGCTTTGATATATAATTGATGATATATTTATTCGACAGATATAATTATTTTACGTCAATAAAGTACATGTAGAAAGTTGTTACCGTTTGGAAAATATCCAAAAATGAATAAATGATGTAATTTTTTTGAAATTGGACTTATGTCTGTTTTTGTTTAACTGGTGATTCTCTAAGGTGGCTCACCCTTATAACTTTTTTATTATTGGAGATAGAAAAACGAGATTTAGTTGTAGTGTAGTAAAGTTCATTTTACATTTTTTGACATATTTACTTGCTTTGCCGTAGTTCACCCCAACCTTCGATTTTCAAATTGAAAATCCTATATTCGCCTCGTAAGAGAGGTGCCTATACAACAATATACTAGTTTGGAGATAATTAAGGACAAAGTTCATTGAAATCAATAAATTGCCTAATGTTCATAATTATAATTTTTTTACGTTTTTACCCAAAGAAAAGATATTTTATTCACTTAGAATAAATGAAAAAAATATTCATTAAATTTTAACCTTTATTTTGAAAAACTAAAAGTATAGGCGTTTTTGGCTCTAACAAAATTTACAAAACAATTTTGTAAAGGTGATAAACATTAACTCATTAAAATAAACGCGAAAAATGAACTGAAATCACTCCACGTCTTCCTCGACATTAGGCTCATCCTCCGGGTCTCCATCTGTAAGTCCCAGGTCCCTTTCATTATCGGTTTTTAACTCTTTGTAAAAACCGTGGTGGATACGTGGCACAAATCTTAGCAAGGCCATCAAATCTTTCTTTTTCTCTTCTGTTATTGGTTTTCCTTCAGGATACAATAAATCCATTTCAATGTAATGGTTCGATGAAGGACGACCACGTATACTTCTTTTTAGGTCCAATTCTAAAAAAAAGAATCCGTATTGTAGTTGTATTTAAAATACATCTTTTTCGGATCAAAATGTCTTAGATGAATCCAAGATATTTTCAGCCATTCCACTTTTTCTCCGGTTGTCGTTTTTTTCTGTGTACGATGTCACTCTCCAGTTTTTTCGTGCTGAAAAAATCTTCTTTTCCCATTTTGTGAATAGTAAATCTAGGCTCTTTCTTTTTAGCATGCCTTATTACAGATACCCAGTCATCAGGTATGTAAATATTTTCGTGGTATTTTTTTTCTTTATCTATGACGCCAAAGTTCTGATCACACGTCGAAAAGCTGTGCCCAGACACGAAAAATTTCAAGTTTGTCTCTTTGACTCCAACGCCATTTTTCTGCAATTCATTAAGTAGGCCTAACACAACTTTAATGTTTCTGTTTTGCCCTCCGTAGGCATCAGAATACAAGTTAATGATTTTTTTTGGAGTATCTGGCAGCAAAGAAATATATTTTATCAAACATGACACTATTTCTTGCGCCCCACGAGAAGCAATACTATCATCCCAGATGAACATGTGTCCAACATTTCTCACCTCGTCGTGGATGCACAAGTTGAAAACCCACATTTGCCTTTTATAATAGGCTACAGACGTGGACAAAGCGGGAACTGGTAGAGTACGTTGTAGGTCGAAAACAGCAACATGCTTTAACCCTATACTATTTTTTGCTTCATCAATTTCCTTCTTTTTTAGCGTTTTTACTGCTTCCGCCTTTCTCTGATGCAGAGTCTTTTCTAACTCAGTATTTCTTTTCTTGGCATCATCAAGCTCGGTTTTCAAAATTATATTGAAGGGGTCACATTTTTGACATGTATCTTTTTGAGGTCTGTGAAATGACAAATTGAACGAATGGTTGAACACATCTCTAAAAACAAAAAGAGATGATATTTTTCTTTGGTCCGTTTCACAGCATCTTTTATATTCGGCGTACATTAGAGACATGTTTAAATTTGGTGGCAAGTATTTCTTGGCAGTGTGATGACGACAGTAATGTGATTCGTATACCGGAAACTTTGTTATAAACTCTTTCAAGCAATTTGTATCCTCCAAGTTGGTCTTATTGTGTGGCGTATGTCTCCCTCGTTTGTCCGAAACAAGAGTTCCCGAAGCCGATTTTCTCTTCAGAGCTTTGGTGATTTTACCATCGCATACATCCAAGCCGCTTTTGAAAAAAACTTTACATACTCTATGGTCATTTCCATCTACATCTTGCAGTCTGTAAGTTCTAGTTTTTTGTCGCCTAGAAACTTCTTTTTTGGTGAATTTTCTTTTGACAGGCTCTACTATAATCTGTCCAGAAATAAAAGCATCTTTGGCGGTCCAATCTAGTGAATAGAAGTGACGAAAAATTTCCATTTGTCGAATTTCGCTGATTTTTTCCGGACAATTCAGCTTGCAGACCCTGCAACAATTGCTGAGAATACATCCTTTATTTCAAACTAGGTTGTTTTTGCTTGATAGATGTTCTTCTCCACTTTTCGCTTGTCGTTTGCGAAGGCCTTGTTTGGTAAGCTCAGGATGTGATTTTCGCTTTCGGCCTTTGAATGGTGTTTGTGGTAATTCAACCTCATTATCAGTATCTAGAATGAAATAAAAAACACAATACTACAAAAGTTCATGCAACATGGCTACCAAAACCTGTGGAACATGCTATTTTTCATCTATGACATTTTTAAAATAAATTATCACCAGAAGAGCCTATACAACATTTCTATTTAAAGCCGTGTTTTACGAAAGTACTGGAAAAAATCCACTTATTTTATACATATTAACATAGAATACATACCTGTTGACACATTTTCACTTTCACTAGGAATATACTCTTCTATTTCTTCATGAAAATCGCTGAAAGAAGACGAATTGCTCCACGTGGTCGCCATGTTGTTTGTAGCATAGGCTCGTCTGGCGTCTAGAATATCTTCTGGATGTGATTTGCCCAATTATTAACAGATGGCGCCATAAGCGATTTTTAGTGTAGGCACATCTGGCCCATATTAAATGGCGCATTTTCGGTGGATACCCATAGTAACACAGTTTCAAATAATATGTTGTATAGGCACCTCTGGTTCTGAGCCACTCAATTGCAGTAATAGAAATCGAAATCAATTTTATTTACCATTGCGAGAACAAATATTCCAACATTCTTTCTCTCCATCTATTTTTTAAATTCCAACTATTTATGGCAAACTGCTAATACGTTGATCTGAATTCTTGATGTACCTGTATGCTTCTAGTTTTGTATTAGGTTATTGTATATTGTATTTTTTGACCCATATTTTGGCCAATTCTAATATTTCAAGGTAAATGCTCTAGTTTCGGCTAGACTTTTCAATTTTAATTTGTTCTTTTTGACCTGTCTTATGTCATTATTTGATATTATGAGTTCAATAAAATCTATCATTTTCTTTTCGTAGCTGGTTATCGGAAACCTGTTGCAAACAAGGAGGACCAGGGTGGTTTTCGTGACGCCCACCAGCAGTTCCGAGGTCACTCTGACTCGAGAGCAGATCCTCAACGGCATGGAGATCGAAGACAACATCGTCTCTAACGTCGTGTCCCACCACACTGACTTTATAAAGAGTCAACACTACTAGGAAGCGAGGCACCTTCGGGGTTAGAAAAGCGTACTAGTTCAAAATGGGGAACTCGTTAGCGGAGGTGGATAGAAAAGTTAGATAATCACTATCAGGGTAACTATAAAAGCGCTTATAGCTGCGAAAGGAATGATGTTGCTGACGTTAGAGGAAGAGGGTTGTCACTTCTGAAGAGGAAGTTCTATTTAGCGACTAAGTAGGCAACTGAATCTCGATGGCAGAGTCAATGGTGAAAACCACATATATGGGTATCTTTGTTTCGATGTCAGGTATTATAATGTGTATTTTCAAAAAGTTGACTAAAGAAGATAAACTCAATAATCTTTGATCAGATCTTCTTTAGTCTATGGTCTGATGATACATTTTTATGACAATTTCAATGCTTTGGGAATGGAAAAATGCGTCTTCACAGAATTTAAATATGTGAAGACATCTTTTAGAATTGGGCAGGTATTAAAAAAGTAAAAAAAAAATAGTGGTGTAAATATTTACGTTACTAAATATTTAGGTAACGCCTTATAGTAGACCTTATGTCTCATATCTTTGAGTTGGTATATGAATTGTCACCCTGTAGAAGACATACGAAGAAGGTGTTACAATGTCAGCAACATTATTCATTCGTTCTGGAACTGAAAATTTCTGACCATTTCGAGAACATATCTATGTAGAAGGTAATAGATTAATCCCTACCTTTTATATTATTCAATTTTATATATTTATTTTTATGGTACATTCTGCTTGGTTTCGTAATCAGGAAATGGTTAGCATATTATGTTGGTTGAGTGGAAAAAATAATCATCTGAACAAGAAGGCTTTTTTTCTGCTGATGTAAATAGTGGAGTGTTATTTTTTGTGAATAATCTTGTTTGGGGCGGATAGAACATAGTTTCCAAAAATTATACAACAGGGTCAGTTGACTCATTTTCAGTTCCGAGGAAATGAACTTTAATTTGTTCCAATTCATACATCTTCCAATGGTATTAGAAAATAATAATATATAATTTTCATCGACTCATACCTAACCATTCTGCACTAGTGGCCAAAAGTATACTTTTAGCCTCAAACAGGGTTCCCGCGAAAACGTTGCACGTAAATTACAGTAAAATCGGAACGATAAAATGTACTGGGCAGTACTGTTCGGGAATATCGGAACATGCTCTTGATCTGAAAGCTACAGTACTGACGACAATGATTGAAGGTCTTCAAGTGAAAGGTGGTGGATCATTGGTAACTCTTCAAATCGACATTTTTTGGCTCATCCTATAAACCAAGAAAGGCAGTATCCAGGAGAATGTTATCACCTGTTTATAGAGCTTAAAAAACACTACTCAGACAGATTTTATACTCACATGAGAATCAGTGAATCGCATTATTGAAACGAAAATTGAACATTGCAATTATAATAACTATCATACAAACCCGACTTCAGCCGATCACTAACAAAACAATCAACCCAAACGTCTCGCAACGTGTTCACAATAAGAAATGAATAAATAAATACCATCCGTATCGTAGACTGATATCACGTGGTTTGGAAAGCACCAATAAACAAGGCAATTTACCACGCGATGAGCAGCTCGATCGCGATGTGAAACAAACTATTTTGTTCTGGCATCGACAGGGCTATAAACCGCGATGATAGGCACCGAGTGTGAGCAGGTCGAACATCCTTGGTATATCCTTGTGAATGTATGTACGCTGGTATGTGCGGTCTCATAAGGACAAATGTTGTTTTGACATCGATGTAGGTACCGCGACCTCCACCGCGCACACCCATGTTTCTTCGGCATGTCCGTACCCCAAACGTTCCTACTGAAGTGGGCTGTGAAATGATTCGAAGTAGGAACCAAACATGCAAGTTTATTGTCGGATATCCGTAGTACAAGAGCACTGACTGTGCAAAACAATTCGTAAACGAATACAAAATGTGCTATTTGAAGCGGAGTGCGGAGCCATCTTTTTCGACCTCGTTTTCACGTCCCTTCTTTCTCACTTCCCTCCGCGTACCCCTTGCCACCTAGTGATAATGTAGTTGGCACAAAGCCGAAGCACAGTCGCACTACAGCCAATCAGGGAGCTCGTCAGATGACATCAGTGGCATATTTCAGCGCAAGCTTCGAAAATATAAAATGAAAAGGTTGATATAATTTTCTGCGAATATGAGGAATGGAAATATCCTTTCTGCACGAAACCTAACTCGGCCTAAATGAAACTTCGTTCTGAAAAGTATATTTTTCGGATAATTACTAGAGAGAACAAAATACACTACTTGAAAATAAACGTATATTTTTCTGATAATTGCTATAGAGAACAAAGGGCACTACTTGAAAATGAAACCGGTAATATTATTTTCTGCGTATAGGTATGAGGAGGGAAAATATTCTTTCTGCACAAGACCTAACTCAGCTTAATTGAATCTTCTTCCTAAAAAGTATATTTTTCGGATAATTACTAGAGAGAACATAGAAGACTAATTTTTTGAATAATCTAACAATCTAACCTCAAACCGTTATTCTTTCCATAAAGTATATTTTAAGAAAAACGAAAAATGTCATGAGACAACAAAATTAAAAAAGTGGAATCTTGTGAGGACTGAACTCGAGATCTCAGGAGTGTATTCAAGTCATTTATTTCATTTTCTCTATACATATCACAACACATATTTACAATCATATTTATGATTCAAATCATAAATTGAAACTCAGATCTAGTTAATATCAGTCTAATTAAGCAAAAATAGTACCTGAAATTCCTGAAAATGAAGAATCTGTTTGAAATGAAAGCAACCTGGATCCCTATTTGTTCCAGACAAGAGACTGTTAGCATTTTTCAGTGTTTTGAGTACATGAGGTTATACTGGTAGTGAATCAGTTTCACTGTCATTATTGTATAAATCCATTTTGATGTTAATTTTATTGATTTCCTCTCTAATATTTTCCTTGATTGGATCTCTTCGCACATTGTTGCTTCCTTTAATGAAGGTAAATAAACACTGAGAAGTTTCAACAGATTCCATCATAACTCTGGGAATTGATGATTTATTTTGATTTTATAAAGTTTCATCTTTGAGGGCAATATAATGTATGTGTTTGCATATAGTGGCTCTTATATAAAAATCAGCACATGTACATTCATATTCATGGATACAATCAAGTCGTTTTGAAACAATATATTCCATATCCTTCAGCTCCACTGTCCAGATGTTTGCTTCTTCATGAATAATTTCATAAATGATTGTTATAGCTGTTCTGTGACGTTTATGGATGTCTTGAATATGACAATTGTTTGTTCCTTTTGTCATTTCGATAATTCTAGAGACCATTTTGTCTCGTAACATACTTCATCACAGCTGTCATGCCTATATCCAATCTTTTCACTACTTTTCCTCCAAGGTAAGAGTACAGTTTTGTGCATACTGTCTAGAATATGAAATGAATTATTATTTGATGAGACAATTACGTTGAAATATATAAAAAATACTTATCAGCACATTGAGCATTAAATTATATGCAAAGAGAATTTTTAAATACCTGAAGAAATGTTGACAGATGTTGAATGATACTGTTAATAGTTTTTACCCAAACTTGAGTTTCATATTGCTGTGGAAGAAGTCATACAAATCATGCGCAGGAACATGCATAATTAGTAAACAAATATATTTATTTGACCATTACCAATCACCATGTTTGTATTGATTTCACATTTTTTCATATAGTGAGCAGTGAAATATGTCCCAAAATTTCTTGTTTCTGGATCATTCAACAAAATATTTGAGGCAGAAGCAAGTTTTCTTTCAAATTCTGCTACATCTAAAGTATTCTGTAGGACTTTGAGAGTTTGGTAAACTTTTTTTCTTCTATCTGTATTAATAATTTTACTCAAGTTTCTCCACCAAGCTCGATCTATATGACAGGAACAATAGAGACGATTAAGGACGTCATTCCCCATGATGCTGAACCAAGCATTATAATAAATGGATGTTATATCAGTCATGAATACATTATCGAGTATTTATAACACCCCTTTTTTTTCTCTATACAATCAAAGAATATTTCATAAATGAGTGTGTCCTTCCTATTAGAAAACATAAAAGTAGATGGGAACCCTTCACCAAATTCCTCTATTACCATTGAGGTAGTCAATTCGAAATCATACTTGTTCAAACCATGGGTATTATCAATGGCAATAGCAGAACTCTCGAAATTATCCAACATGGCTTCTTGTGTTTTATTCATCAATATTATGCAGACATAATCTTTATTCAACCCTGGGAACTCTTGACCTTGTCTTTTATAAAAAATAATCTCATCTCCGAATTCTCCGAAGTTGGATAGGATGTCCATAATGAGACTTATAGTAAGTAGCACAATATTTATCAGCAGTATGTGTTAGAATAATCTGGCTAGTACAATTGATTTCAATTTTGCAGGAACCTTGACTCTTCAAAGCTATTTTTCGACAATCACTCTTAGCTTGATATTTTCCTGAAATGGTGGATAATTGATCTCTCCTCAACATTTACAAATGATATGATTTACATGAGCGATTACATATGAAATGAGTTGTTTCTGTTTCTTTCTTATGATGGCGAACAAATTCTAAATTATTGCATTTACATGTATCATTCAACCAATTCTCGAAACCTTGAATGAATCATTATAATGGATTTTGTTTAATTCCTAGTTTCCACTTTCGATCTGCATTTGAGAAATATAATGTTATATTATGGACTGTCTCTAGGTGGAGCCTCAATTCTGCAGTGTACTTATAGGAAGTAGAACAATCTTTCTCTAAGCACTCATTATCAAAGAGGTCAAAATCATATGAAACAATATCTTTTCCATCTTATTTATGTACAGTTTCCAAGTTGAGATATTAGTATTCACGAAAAGCATCTATGAGATAATACGATCTTGTGACTGTGACACTTGATTGACTGTGGTCGTTACTGTGGTGTTTGGACACTTGGCAACGTCGACGTACCTTGTCCCGCATTTAACCGTTCCTAAATTATAGTGCCAACAGTGAAAGGACGCGGTATATGTTTGGTTGCCTATACTACAATCATGCATTAATAGACAAATTGATCATCAATA